CCTATAAAAAACAAAAACAAACAAACAAACAAAAAAAAAAACTACGTCAACAAGGAAGCCATTTGCACATATTCCTTCTCCAGTCTGTGAACGAATTTGTGGAAATAGCTTAGTGAATTTCACTATTAAACAATACAAAAAATAATTACATTTCACAACTTGAGTTTTATTTAAACGACTCTAAAGCCTTAAAAATAATAATAAAAAAAAGCCAGATAAATATTAATTAGAAGTGATCTTTCTTTCCTCAGACAGCAAAGCATTACAAATGAATGCTGTAAATTACTCTATGGTTTCAATGATGGTTCTCAAAAGCACTGCTTGTTAAAATTACTGCATCCACAAGTGGCTGGTGCCCTTCTCCAGTGGTCAGCAGCTGAAAGGCGGTTCACTCTGGATAGGTCACCATCACATAATATACTGCAGACTGGGACACCAACATTGCATGTTTATGGATATAGCAAGGTTCAGCTGGCTAACTAGTTAGAATATAAGTAACCAACACTTCAAAACCACTAAAAACTTCCCTATGATGTACTGTTATGTGTTAGATTTTATCAGGAGTGAAAATATCTGTTATTTTTCAAATAAAAACAGCGAATGCTAAACATTTTTGTTTTTGGTTTTTGAATCAAATTCCCGCGATAGCGTGACATTTTTAATTAATTCTATAATACCAGCAGGACATAATATCATCCTGTCTCTAGGTGTCACTACTAGTTGGTTTAATGTACAGATCTCTACCATCATCCATATCGCCCAGTTTTTTTTTTTTGGTTGTTTTTTTTTTTCAAACGACAGTAAAACTATAGCTGGTCACTAAAGAGATACTGCTCTTACATAGGTGATTAAATGAATCTGATCCTGTTGCCGTCTTTGAACATCCAGACCTGGAGTCTTCCCTGTGACAAAAAAAAAGGGCTTCCTTTTTAGAGCAGCATTCTTTCCACGAGGACGCCCGAGTCATTTCCGAGAACCTGCTGCTGTTACCAGAACACACGAAACACACGCCGAGCGAGATCTCTCAGTCTCCAATTATGAGATTGAACTATGCCTAATTACCATGTGCAGCAATAAGCGATACGGTGCATGCTGGAATGGAGAGGGAAGCAGCAGAGAAATGAGAACAAGAATTCCCATTTAATATTTATGACTTACAACAATGCTGCTTGTGCTGTGTGGAAAGCCTAAGGATCAATTCCACCTTTTGTCTACGGATAGTAACACTGCAATGTCCAGGCCAGGGACAAAGCTGCTGTAAACCAGCAATCCTTTATGCTGCATCAAATCCAGTAAGGAGGATTACTCAGATGGAGGGAGCAAGATCGACACAGACACATTAACCTCCACTAGTGCACCATCCAAAGATAATATTTTATAACTGCAAAGGTTTAGAAAAACCTCTTTGCATTCATAAGGGGAATCTTAATCAGTCTGAACAAGTTGAGGGCAAAAGTTGAACAGTGCCATTTGAGTTTCTGCCCGTGTCCTGTCTGCTGCTATCGGATTCCCTCAAGATGACCATGTAACCTTTAAATACAGTGTTTAGCTGCGACATAACACAATAGATTGTCTAGTTGAATTAGTTGTTGTTCTGTCACAAGCAATCATGTCAACGCATGTGCATAAGGTCATTGCAAACCTGCTACCAACTTCGGACAAACATCAGCGTGCTAGCAGAGTCACCAACCTGTCCACCGGAAGCAGAGGGTTCGATACACAAGGCTGCCTTGTAGGGATTCTACCTCAGCCTTTCGTTGGTCCAAATAGACTGGTTTCCAGGCTGATAGACCGCACTCACCGTTCGGATGCCACTGGAGTCTGAAGCTCCTGTCCGATACACCGCAGACGATGAGGGCGTCAGCACTGGTGTACCACAGGGCTGTGTACTAGACCACCACCTCAACCGAGCTCAACACTATAAAAAAGGTTTTCCAACCACGCTACAGTAGTTAGTCTGATCTTTGGCAGAGATGACTTGGCTTAAATAGAGGAGGAAGAGCTGCTACCCATGCAGTGAAGTGATGAAACCAAGTGGTTGATTACCATCTTAAGTTACAAAATGAAACAAAATGCCCCTCCCTTATCAGGACAGACTATGAGAGTATTGTCTAACCATTACGGTTTCAGAGTGAGGATAGAAATGCAACTCTTAAGAAATAAGATCTCTTTCAGTAATTGCCCATCAGCTTTATAGAATTTTAGACGAAATATTAGCAAAGGCGATAAAATAACAAATGTTTGAGCCTATTGCCCTCAGGCAATTAGTACCATATAAACATCAACATCCTTATTGTAGAATTTGCAAAGATGGTAAAAGTTCTGTCCACACATAAAAACTCACTTTTACCATTTTAATGGATACTATAATCAAAATTTAAAAAAATAAAGAAATGCACAATTACCAAAAACACTTAGAAAATTGATCTTACACAATTTTAGAGCAGATTAAAAATTGAACAAAGACGCCCTCAAAACTTCCTGATTATATCTCGCAGACCTATATTTGTCTGATTACAAACACTCCAAATGAATGGGGTGAGAAAATTAGTGTTTGCGCGCTCTTTCCCTGTGTCGCTGCTTTGTTTGCTGCAGATAAGTGCGCCTGCCGAGAGTCCAGGCCCTGATTAATACGGATGAATTTTTCATTCCGAGTGTGCAGCTGCTCCTCCGCAGAGCCTCCTTCAGGTTACCTGGCCTCGGAATATCATTGCGGCAAACGCCACACGCAGTCGAAATTGCGTCTGGTGCGTCGACACCCGAGGCCGTGTGCTCCGCTTCCTTCAAAACAATTAAAGTAAAACGACTGCAGCTACACGGCTTAAGGATAAGTGACGCATCGCTGACAGTCACGGCTGCGCACTTGCACACGTGTAGACCGTCGCGATGAGAGATTCCTTCTCTACTCGCTTTCCCTTCCCCTCCGGTATCCCCTCATCTCTGAGTTTCCAGGTTTTTCCAGAGTCTGCCACCTTCTGCGGTGTTTCATGCCCTGCGGCGAGGCTGCTCCCAGGCTGACGGCGAGTATCCCTGCCTGGTCTTCTACAAATCTATCCAATCGTCGTGCAATTTGCTTTTTACAGGGTTTTTTTTATTATATTTTTCTACATCACAAAGCCACTTGTTTATAAGGACACCAATCGTAATGAATTCTCGGTTTATGTAGTTGAGGTGTGTGTACGTATTGTGGGCCGTTCTGTGTTGGGAGAGATAAGACACCTCCAGGACATTCCAATTTCCGCTCCGGTGTTTTCCTTCCTCTCTGTGTGCTTTATCAGAGAGCTGCATAAATGCTGATAGTTTGGGACGCTTTACTAACCGATAGAGAGAGGGGGAAAAAAAAAACAATGGTTGAAACAGAAGGTTGATGAGTCCAAAACATCAGATCAGAACCAGAACGGCAAACAAAACAACAAAAAAACAAAACAAAACAAAAAAAACACACAAGCAAGAATTGGTGAGGAGGATGGGAAAAGACAGTGGGGAGAAAAAGCAAATGAGGTGAGCTCATTCGGTCCGACTGAAGGTCAGAAAAAGCCCAGTGTGTTCCACACTTAACAGTGGCTAGTGTTCCCTTGTGATAGTCTGACAGTGACGTTAATGCCTCATTAAAAGTGGGAAGCGAGGCGGTAACTCATCTCTAAGTTTTGAAATGGAACGCCATAGAACGGCTCCTTCAAACACGGCGCTTTCTTTAATTAAACCCCGCATACGGACACCTTGGCTTTTTCCCAGAGACGGAAGAAGGAAAGAAGGAAGGAAGGAAAAAAAGAAAGGTGCGGGCAGAGTCAGCTGTTAGCCAAGCATGAGAAAGAGACCCTCAAAAAGAGTGAGCAGGAAGTGTGATTACGGGGCAGCGATTGCCTGGACTAGAATTTGGCTTTTCCTTTTTCCTCATTATGCACAGTGGGAGAGAGAGGGAAATGTTAGCCAAGCAGCTGAACACCTGAAAAAATTAGCAAAGGTTAGTATCTGCTGCCAGTAAACACAGCCAGAGGCAAAAGGCTATTAAACGGCAGAGGCAGAGGGATCAACGGAAAAGATCAGTTCCAAAAAATTCCCCCCGAAAAAAAAAAATCTTTTTTTTTTTTGTTTGTTTTGTTTTTTATTCTTAACTGAACGTAAAACATGAAAATGCTATTATTTCTATTACTACTGTTTAGTGGATGTTCTCTTATCTAGAAAATGCCAAAATTAAACATACATGCATACAAACTGGACAGACATCAAATGACGTGTGGCTGGTTTGATGTCACTGGTAGTGAATACTGCACTAAGTGGATGAAATCTACAGGTAAACTATATGTTTGAATCTTTTATAGACATATCTTATTGTCCATGAAATAGGACAGCAACAGGAAGGAATTGACGTAATAAGCCGGTCGTCTGTAGAGCTCACACTTCACATCTTGAAAGATTATGCATGTTAAAACTCCCGACTCTTTTCTGTATTTCCAGTTAAATTATGTAGCTGTTTTATGCGTCATATATTCCCGGTGCCCTGGAGTTTGTCAGGCACCTCTGAGCTCAAGTGTTACGCTTTGTGAAGTTATGCTATTGCATTATTTATTCATTAGAACATGCAGAGTATTTCCAACAGTTTGGTTGTGATGTTCTTTGCCGTGACAACCTCTTTTTTTTTTGTTTGTTTGTTTCTTTTTACCAATAGCTCTTCTCTTTAATGTGACAGTGTGACACAAGTTTACTCAATCATCCAAACCCCACTGTAGCTATTTTGGGACGACAGCCGTTCCTAAAATACCTGCAATTGCTGAGTAAATGTTCTGCTTCTGCAATGTGTTTAAATGTTCCCAAAGGCAAAGCAAAGCCGCTTGACGCCGACATTCGAGAGTCTAGCGCTCCGCTACCGTCTTTAAATTTGTCGATCATCATGAAGTACTGTTCAAAGCTCATGCGTCCCCAAAACAATGTAGGAACCACGTGCATATGCAACAACAAGCGAGCATTTACGGAAACTTCCAGAAGGAACAAGACCTCACCTGTCATTGTCCACGCTCCTGAAGCCGGGAAGGATGTGTCTGAAGCTGGAGTTCCGGTCAAGCTTTGGTTGACTCTTGGTGCGTTTTATGGAGCCCTTCAGCCGTCGACTCAGAAAGCCCTGATGGAGGAAGACAGTCGGCAATTACAGCGTCGCCGAAGTGTCGGCGATGTGGTTGAACGCGACGGCACAGCAGTAAAATATGAATACAACAAACATGCATGCTAAGCATTTTAAAATCTGTGAGGCGAGGCGTCATCGACAGCTAAAGGGTAATGAATAAATGTGGCTCACGTCAGAGATCAGAGAATACGACCCGAACATCCAGAGCCCCAGATTTAACTCTGCTAGATAAAAGCCGAGCTCAGAGTGGAGCAGAGATAGAAGTGGGGTGGAATTACCACAAATTATGTCAGATCAGGTATAAAAAAACCCCCCCAAAAAACCAGGTAATCGGTTCTAGGCTTGTCTGGGTGAAGTGGAAGGAAATTTAGTAAGCGTATTTCTTCTTACATTAGCAATTCAACCCTGGCAATCTCTATGGTAACTATCAAGTGAATGAAATGAGTGGTGTAGGAATGCCACGGCTTTTGTGTCTTTTTTTTTGCACTAAACGTTTCATCCACAGTGTGCATTTGAACGCACTCAGCTCTGCCGTTTCCCGTACTCGTGAAGCTTTGGGCTGCGGCCAACAGGATTCTGAAGTGCGCTCCTCAGTGGGAGACCTGGTGCTTTACTGGAGATTCTTGGACATCTCAAGTCCTTCTTCACTGCAACCAAACTGCTCATCTTTGGGTTCTTATGAGCTGAAAGAATGTTCTTTCAGGTCCAATTTCCTGGCATGTGGAGTGTTCTTTTTTTTTTGTAAGATGACCACGTCACACACGCAACGATAATGATTTTAAACCCATAGTCTCGAGTATTTTACGAAGACCCTTGCAAAAGTATTCATACATTTTGTCATGTGCATTTCAAGATGAAATTTGAGTGAAGTGGAAGGGAAATGATACAGAATGATCTAAATTATACAGCAAATGAAATAAGAATCTGAAAAGAATTGGATTTAAGGTCAGGTCTCTGACTTTGCATCCTTAGAGATTTTAGTTAAGAGTTGCTTTGTGCTTAGATTCCCTGTGTGCCTCTGCCAACGTAAAGCATTTCCACAACTTCTCCACAACTTGACCTCCGACCTGCCCGGTGTGTTTGCTCTTCACAAGGCCGTCTGTCCGCTAATGTTTTAGTCACAGGTGGACTTTTCCAGTTTCCCTCATGAAGGCCACGTTGCAGAAACCATTAGCCGTGAGGCTACAAAAATCACAAATGTGTAAAAGAGTTTCGGGTCTCGATGAAAAGCTTGTGCAAAGACCTTTTGCTTTGTTCCACAAAGCAGAACACCAGGTTGAGATTTCAGTCAGACTAAGTTGGGGGGAAAAAAGCATCACATACCCTAACAGACATGCATTACCTAAAAGTGCTTTAACCTTCCGTTGTCCTCATACGCGTCGCCCTTCCACATGCCTGTGATGGGCAAATTGCCCAGTGAAAGAGACCTCCCTCCACCCCGTTCGGGCCATTAACACACTTGTGTAACAATTACCACCTACAGTATGAATAGGTCTCCCCAGGCTTCGATGGACTGGGGATAATTGGAGAGCGACTTCCTCACAGCTTGGCAGCTGATCACAGAGCAAACCTCAGCATCCCGATGAACAACACCTGTCATCAGGAGGCACTCTGGCCTGAAAACAAAGGACGCTCTCATGCCGGTAACCTGAGCTTCACGCCAATAATGAGTGTGTGTATCATCGCTGTGTACCAACACAAAGTGCTGCGATTCCTAATTACTTGGTAATTTTGAAGGAAAGGATTTTTTTCCTTCTTCTTTCTTGGTTTACTGCAAACAAATAAACCAATATTCACAGTATTACATTTTCGCTGTTGATGCACGTTCCTGTCCAAAGCTGCAGTGCACGAATAATAAAGCAGTGGCTACGACAGGGAGCTGAAATAATAACTTGTTTTAAATGAGGAGGATCGTGGAGACACAAGACCGGAGCAAATAGCGCAAAGGAAGCACGGCGTCTACCCTGCATTAAATTCAATTTGCCGCTACAGAAGTACTCCGCTTATTCAGCAACTTCAGATGCGACTCTGTGGGAGCTTGTCCAAAACTTTCAGACAGCTTCTAATAATCTGGGAATCGAGTATTTCTAAGGATTGCAGTTTGAAATCAGAAAGAGTTGGTCAGTTTAGACCAACTCTGTGCCAAGGAGAACTGAAAAATAACTTCACCTAAAGCTGCAGCATGTCTACTCGCAACAGAACTAGTGTTGCATCATTCGTGGTTTTTATACAGGAAAGGCTCGGCAGCCGAACAGCAGGAGTCGAGCCATTGCTGCTTTATTTGTGCTTTATTAGAATTTGCATAGAACTGGGTTTTGGTTGTATTGTAGTGCAATGAACTGCATAGAGCTGATATAGGCTGATTGAGCTAGACATGTTTATGATGCTTCTTTTTAATGCGTTGAGTTGACCTCTGAACTCAGCTGGTACCTTATAGATGCAACGCAGAACTACACGGACAATAATAACTGAACAAGTTCATAAACACAGGAGTCTCAGCCACCATTACACTGCTTTTTTTATTTCCTCTGTTATAATATTAAGTAAGAAAATGTGCAATTAGCAATGATTTTACTTTGTTTTTTATTATTATTATTATTATTCTGAGGATCATCTACAAATACCATGATTATTTTATGATTCAAAAGAAAGCCATAACCTAATCCAACTTTTTCAATCACAAAATTTATTGCATGATAATAAATCCCATTGAGATCACCATTAATCACTGCATAATAGCTGCACCCCCCCCCTAGAGATTCACATAGTAACATAACTACTATTATATCGCTATTAATATATAGGCTCATTAAGTGTAGGAATGAAAAAAAAATGCAGCGAAGATGCAATAGCACACAAGGAATTTCATACTCTTCATCCCAATGTACATGCACTATACATAGGGGGGACTATTATAGGAAACACCCACATGTCAGTGATTTAGAACAATGTGAAATATGGTCACATATGAGGGGAGATAAACATTGTGACAGCGGGACTATGATGAGCTCCGACTACAGCTGAACTTTTGCTTTTGTCTTCATGAGAGAAATTAAATGATCCCACTGAACCCTCTGGGATCAGGGTTGCTTTTGCTTTTTCAAACTCAAAACTTGGACAAAAGACAGAAAAAAGAAAAAAAAAAGAAACAAAACAAGAAATTGCATCCTTGTAAATCTTAAATAAATCCAGACTTCTATGAGCCAAAGATGTGGGAAGTAAACTGGGTTACTGGTGTTGCTGCCAATTCTGTTGGACTGTCAGATGAATGACTGGGCCTGAGTCATTACATGAGTAGAGCTAAATATAGCAGTTTAAGTGGAACATTTACTCTGTCTTATGACATCAATATATATTTATTTTTTTCTTTAGGAGTGAGGGCATGTGGTTTGATTAGTAGGAACGCCTATCTAAATAAAGATAGAGGAGTTTGAGTGAAACAGAAGGAATCTATCAACCACCCCGCACCGCATTGGCTCCTCCGTAACCATGACGAAATTAAGACCCACTGAGTTTGACTTTTTGACACAGAAGACAGTGCAGATGAAAATTTAATAACGCCCAAACACCTTTTTCTCATTTCCGCATATCACTGCTTCCGAACTCCTCGAAAGGCAAAGCGATTCCCCGCAGCCCCTGGAGAGCGCGTTAGCCTGCTGTCGTCGGCATGTTTGCGGCTCACAAATTAAAACGTTGCTTCTTTTTGCATCCTCACGAGGCGAGGTGATGAATAAAACTCCCCAACTCAAGCACAGAGAGGGGCATTAATGAAAGACAAACCAGAGATATGAAGCAGAGTGCGGACAGCTGTGGTCAACTTGACTTTTTTTTTTTGTTTTGTTTTGTTTTTTTAAACAAATTCAGCATAATTCAAATCAAAACTTAAAAAAAAAAAATCACGTAAAAATAACCAAAATGAATTAGGAAGGAGAAGCAGGGACATGAAGGGAGCTGAAGTCAACCCAAAAACAAAACAAATAGAGAGAAAAATGACTGACAGTGAGGGGAGACAAGCAGCAGGAGGATAAATGAAATAATTTGAGCACAATTGTGGAGGTGGCAGAGCACAAGTCAGCAGAAGAAGCAACAGAATGAAACTAAGCGACGAGGAAAGCCGGGAGAAAAGTACAGCAGACGAGTGACAAGGTCAGCGGCGGATAGGAGCTCAGCAGAGCGTGGAATTGGTAGCAGAGCAAAGTGAAACAAAGGATGGTCAAATGGGGCAAAATATAGTTTTGGGCTTCACTCTGACGCGGCCCTGTTATTGCTCTTATTCTGAATAAGACGCCTATCACCGTGCTCCCTGGGACACATAACAGAAAACAATAGCAAACATAAAACAAAAAGAAGAACCCAGCTGGACTCGGCATTCTACATGTAGCACGGCTTCACAAACCCTAAAAATCTGTTCAAGGTAACAAGTACCACACTGGTTCATATGCAGTCGCTTAACTGGCTTGTTTATTTTTTTTTTTTTTTTTTTTGATAAGGACTTCAATCTAACAAACAAACCTGTAAAAAAAACAAAAAAAAACAGAAGTAACCTTCACACAAAAATGCAGACTGAGAACAAAACTAACTTTGCACAATGAATGCTGAATTCCTCCAACTCTGTCTTTTTTTTTTTTTTTATTCCTTTATTTAACCAGGTAAACCCCATTGAGATCTAGATCTCATTTTCAAGGGGGACCTGGGCAGAAGTCTGCAGTACACAGCAACCTGGTTACAAAACCTGGTCTTATGTTATATGACACTCTAACTTGGCTCTAAGTCACAGTATAAGAGAAGTGGAGTAGGAAGTACAAGCACCATTACATGCTACATTCACTGTTGCTATATAGAGTAGCGTCGAGTATGACTGACATCCAGGAAGAGGTAAATGTAACCAAAAAAAGAAAGGAAGACAATGAGGAATAAAAAGTGTATTGTGCATCTGTCAATTTGCATATAAACAAAACTAGACTTGAGGTTACTGTTTCCCATGCTTATGTGAATCTTAACAAGCTCTTTACTTATTCCACATTTCTGCGGCTGACAGTGAAGAGGCAGGGCGGGATGTCATAAACCAATTCAACATGAGCATACCGCACGGAGGGGCACCTGCTTCTCAACAGCCTGTCTGTCTTTTCTTACTGCGCTCACTCCAAAACAGGGAATCTGACGGTCCAGAAATATTGTATCAATATTTTTCCGCACCATCTTGTTTGCAGCTTATCCTCTCGACTACGTATGTGTGTGTGCGTGTGTGTGTGTGTGCGTGTGTGTGTGTGTGTGTATGCGGATGTTACAACCCGCCCCCCAAAAGCTTGATTGCAATCTCAGGCTGTCCGAGTTCATTAAATCAGCACTTAAAGGAGTTCAGCTGGGCTTTATTGCGGGGCCTCGTTTTTGTCATGAAATTAAAGCAAATGCTTTGCAACCAGTTAATTCTATTCCCTCGGCTCGCCGGTTCCCGGCCGCCCTTAATGTGGCCTGATAGGATCAGAGCCGGGACAATCAGCGGGGCTTTCTTTGCTCCTACTGTCACATCTCGTGTTCTCCTTTAGCATAAATGGATAAAACCAGAGGACGTACCTTCCCAATTAGACCTTTCTGCTATTTATCGGAGAGAAAACGGGAGGTAGGCATGAGAAGGAGAATCAGTTCAGTCACCCAGGATAAGTGAAGCAAAAGAAACTAACTTCTATTTTAACTCTTTATCTGTTTAATTATAACAGACACTTTGAAGGGATTTCAATTTTTTGTGGCTTATGGTTGTGATGAAATAACAGCATTCGAGAACAATAGAGGTGTGCGTGAGTGTGTGTGTGTGTGTGTGTGTGTGTTTTTGCAGATATGAAATCCAGTCCCTCCAACCGCAAGACAGAAAAAGATTTTGACAGATTTAGCTCGAGGCCTTAGAAGGAGTGCTTTAGAGATCATTATAACTCTTGTTGTCAGAGTGTGAAAGTTTGTTTCTGAAATAAAGAGGAATGACGAGGAACGGTGGCCATTCACTCGACACCCAACATCCTTACTTTTTTTTCCCCCCCATCTCTGGAAAAAAAAGAAAAAGAAGAAGAGTCCACTGCACCGAACGCCACTGGAAACCTCCTGGTTATTCCACCAAATATTGATTTATGAACTCTTCCTGAGTTAAACATTAGTATTGTTGTTTCTAAATGAATATCAACTTGTTTTCTTTGCATTATTTGAGGTCTGAAAGAACTGCATCTTTTTCATTGTTTTGACCATTTGTCATTTTCTGCAAATAAATACAAAACTTTACTCAAACATATACCTATAACGAGTAAAATCAGAAACTGCTCATATTAAGTGGCCTCCTAATTTATTTATTTTTTTCCAGAGCTGCATGTGGAAGGCACCTGAAAGTGTCATGGTTTGATTGTTGATGCAATACCACTACATACCACTAGGGGGAAGCATATGAGAAAGGAGCCCACAGGAAAAGTTGAACCATCTTCAAGAGCATTATGTTAACTTTGGGCAGGAATCAGTTGTTTAAGCTCATCAATATTAGGCTCACGGCTAGGGGTCAAGAGGTCATGTGACTGAGGGTGACTTTGCAGCAGATCGCCTCCAACTTTCCCTGAGAAGCACAAGAAGCCGCTTCAGAGGCAGCTAATCCATAAGTCAGCCCTCCCATCTGACCCTTTACGTCTCTGACAAGCCTGCTGTTCTTCGTTTCTTTTCATAAGCGCTCGTTAATTCCTGTTGGAATCAAGATCAAACAAAGACTCAGCTCGCATGTCTCACTACAGGGGATCAATAAGATCCAGAAAGGACTGAGACAAAATTTAACACAAGTGGCAAAAATGCTGCATGTTCTATTAAGTAGGAGTCCACATCAATTATAGTCCATAACAACTTCCAAAAAAAGCCTTTAAAAACACTTGTTTTTTGTTTTTTTTTCCTGTTGTAATGAATACCGTAGTATCTTTTGGCTCCCAATTTAGTCCATTCCTGTGTTTGTTTATCCTGTCGACTAAAGAGGTGACATGGAGTTTACATGTTTATGAGAAACAAACCCCGTCGCTCCGCTGGCCTGACTTTGAGCGGTTTACACTTCACCTCCGGGTTGCCATCTCCCCACTTGTTAAATATTAATTGAAATATGCGATGCTAATTGCTAATTATCTTTAAATTGATGACTCATGGCAGAATTTTTTGCTTCATTAACTGGCTGTTTATCTACTGAATTAAACATGACACAGAGCGTTACAGCGGGCTGATGGACAAAAAAAAAAAAAGAAAAAAGAAAAAGCAAGAGAGGGGGGAAATAAAAAGAGTGCTCTCCATTTATGTTTGACAGCGGAAATGGGGAGCTGTGTGGGAGCGAAAGTGACTGAGCTTAAATAAAGCGTATCATGTAGGCTGAAAAAAAAAAAGAAAAAACAATAGAGGCCTGAGTGTTGGAGGCAAACAAAAATGTGTGCTGTGATGTCACAGTTCGAAGGACTTTTGATTTGAGTTCATCTGGACATTAAAACGGCCTAAAATATATCAATCTATGAGATAAAAAGAAAATCTAACAGGTAACAGAGAGACAGAGAGAGGACGGTTGGTAGAAAAAAAAAAAAAAAAAAAAAAGCAGCACTCACAGTACTCACGGTGACTCTGAAAGGGGTGGCGGCGGAGGAGGTGGTTTCCATGGCGGTGGCGTTCTTGTCTGAGGAGCCTGGCATGCTGCGGCGGCGTCCCGTCCTCTCCGGAGGAGACTCTGAAGACACGAAGAAGGTTTTTATGTTATTATCCTTAACAATTTTTTAAAGCTGGCTCATTGTCTTTGAAAGTACATTTTAATGACTTCTTTGATTTCTGTGAAAAACGTCTGAAAAGGAAAAGATGGCAATTAGCAAATCTTTTAAAGACACAGTGGATTCATTGATGTATTTGACAGCAGCATTTTAGCTTTAAGTGTAATAAAGCTTCCATAATTCTAGCATTAATCTAACTACATGCTATTCTTTTTTTTCATTATTATTATTTTGCATTTAAAGATTGAAGTGGCTTTGATATTGTTGCGTAAACTAATTAGGAAAAAAAAAAAAACAAGTTCAGTAAATATACAAGTTTGTAAGCTTCAGCTTCCATCTTCAGTCACAAAGAAAGACTCGGTCATTTCAATCGAAGTATTTTAATATCAAACAGAATTTTTTTTTTTTTTCCTAAATGTTTGCAGACCATCCTAACGCATGAATAAATTAACATTTTTATGAGGCATGATCAAATATTTATTTAATACCCACTCAAGAGGACAACATGCATTCAGGTGTGCATAAGAAATCATTTACTGAGAGGAATATACATAACTGCATAATATATTTTGTACTTTTTCAGAAGAATGAACTGTAGTTGAACACTGCCGCCGTGCATCATGGGTCATGTAGTTACAGCAAAGCGTGACAACGTATGAATTTATTGGTCCGAACTACAGCATGTAGCCATCTGCGATTTTGATGCCTAATCCTGGAACCTGTGGTGCATGTTTTCCCCCCCCCCTCCCCCCCTTTCTCTCTCTCTCCTTCTCTGTCCATTTTCTGTCTGAATATTGTGAAAAATCTCTAAAAGCACTACAAAATAAAAGTGAAAAAGGAAGAGTTCTTAAGGTTGTGCGGAAACTCTGCAAAGAGCTTGTCCTTTTGTTGGCTCGAGTGGAGTTTTGCTCTTCAAACTGATGTGACATCCTCCGTTCAGGACTATCTGAAGAATTGCCATTGCCAGACGAAAAGAAATAAACAACAAACAGTGAGGAAAAAGGATATAAAAATTCGAAGAGGGTGTCGAGCTGCGACCCGAACAGACAGATGTAGCTAGAAGCCTGAGCGTTACGCACCTGGATACTGAAAGACAGTTGGCAATGCTTCAAAAGGTAACTTTTATCGTATTGTTTGCTTGGCTATCTTATTTCATTTCTGCAGTCCAACTTATGTTGTACATGTCTTTGTACAACAAAAGTAAAAAAAAAAAAAAAAAAGTGTACAGTTTTAGTGTCAAACAGTTTGACATGATACCTTCCAGTTTTCTGCAAAAACTTTTCCAAACCATCTGGACGAACATGTGTTTCTATATTACAGTTTGTTAGTCACACATTCCCTTTCTGAAACGGTTGTGTCAGCAAGATGTAGGAAAAAGGAAATATTCAGAAAATAAAGATAAAAAAATAGGAAAAAGGCTAAAAAAAAACAACAATATGGTGTCTGACCATTATGAATGTGTCCTGAGTGCATCCAGGAGACATGGAGAGGTGTGTGTGTGTGTGTGTGTGTGTGTGTGTGTGTGTGTGTGTGTGTGTGTGTGTGTGTGTGTGTGTGTGTGTGTAGGGAAGCTACAGATCTGGACATGCCAATGAGGAATGTTACAGTCATTCAACATGCAAGTCTTCACATATTTCAGTTATCTCTGCTGCCTTCTGACTCCAGAATAGAAAGAAAAAAACAAAACAAAACAAAAGCATCACAAGCATCGCAGTATTTCAAATGTATGCCTCGCTTAATTTGTATTAAAATACATCTAAATAAAAGTTCAGAATCACAGCCACAAGTTTTGATATGGTGAAAAAGTCTGTCCCCATTAAAGCCCTCACGCACGGCCACAGCATCAATCAGGCGACGTTACATTATTTTAAATATGTTTTGAGTGGTCAGAAAACACAGAGTGAATTAATGTTGCAGTGTGTGTGGAGGGTGTGTTAGTGTGTTATTAATATATCCTTATTATATAACAAATCCTCGTGCACACGGACACGTTAGAACGCACGGCGTAATCTTTTGGCTTTTGGCTGCCAAGATCACACAACTTCACGGCTACGAGTTGGTGCGAAACCGCTGAACTCTTTATGGATGTCCCGTTATCACAGGGCAAAATGAAAATGACAGTCAGGAAAATGTGTCGTCTTGTAGATTCGTAACTTAAATAATTCACGCGTTTCTTTCCAAGTGCACAAATTATCTCGAGTCTGCCACCTTATGCTGCCGTTACTGTTGCAGCGCTTGGACTGGACCCCGGCTGTAACGCAGCATGTTCTGTCATGTAGCAACCACAACTTTCAGTGTGTTTTTGTGGGCATGGCACGGCCGCACCTACCAGGACATACCCAACCACTTAAACTGACAAGCCGGGCAGAGAGAGCAATAATCAAGGATGCAGCTAAGTGAGCCATGGCAACTCTGGGGGTGCTGCACAGATCCATGGCTCGGGAGAAAGCAGATCAGTTTATTAAACATTTCTCAGTCCAGAAACGTATACATGTTTATCTATTATCTGCTGTCTCACAGGCTGGTTGGTTGTTTTAACTTCAGGTAAAGAGCTAAAGAGCAGGCAAAGTACTAATCCATACATTATTCTCAATACAAATACAGATAAAAATGAGAGATGACACTCTGTGATATTTGTTTTTTTACTTATTTATTTTAACTTAGCATGTTGAGGCGTCTGAATAATCTTAATTTGTTCTACCTCTGTACGGAGGATTTGAAATTACGACGTAAGAGGTTGGAAAGAGGACATTTACGACTTAATGTAGAGCGACAACAACTCAGGAGTTGGTAATAATTACCCAAGAGTTTATTACAACGGATTTGGATGTTACATTTTTTGCGACGTCCCCTCTGAAATCAAAGTCAGGCGCTGAGGAGGGTGAACCCCATCAAAACAAAATCCATCTTTATCTTCAGTCACGGCGCACAACTCACGCGGTGATTGCATTCCTGTCGTTTTCCCTCCTCGCAAACCAACAACTACGGTGGGGACTGAGATTTCCGCTGCCATGACAACACGACTTTTTTAATCCTTTCAAATCAAAAACTCATTCATGAGCAAATAAGGCTGATTAAGGTAATTATCATCCCTGACGGAGGAAAGTCTGCAATGCAAATTCTCACACTCGGCCTTCAGCAAACTCGCCCCTCTGGGGGTTTCATGTGGCGACAGCAAAAAACTCCCTGCTTGTGCACAGCTGGCTGCCGTTGGCGCGCAAAGACAAACCAAACACATGAGCGCACATCATGGAGCTGTTAAAAAAAAAAAAAAAAAAGAAAAAGACAAGAGGACTGCTGAGTGCAATCGCGATACAGGTTTCCACATGCTCCAGCCATCTGACTGCAATAAATTTCCGCAAATGTACGGAAAATTGCCGCTGCTGTGTGAGGCGCTCCTGTTGTCGACTCAGACAGACAAACAGACACAGAGACAGAGACAGAGAGAGAGAGAGAGAGAGAGCAGACTCGTTCTCAATAAAACCTAAATTAAAACGCAACGCCTAATGTGACTCCTGGGGAAAACCATCAAGGAGTTTGTTTTGTCGAACACGAGGGGTTTGATCTCAGGGAACATTTCCTGTTTATGGAGGGGTGTGTGTGTGTGTGTGTGTATAGCAGTTGTGTGCAGCCTTCAGATCTCAGATGGAGTGTGTGTGTGTGTGTGTGGGTGTGTGTGTGTGTGTGTGTGTGTGTGTGTGTTTAGAGCACATCTGCAGTTTAAAAGGGTCAGCGTGTCCACAGGCAGCTGTTGTTGTCGTGGACATTCAAAGCGTGATAGCCTTGAGATCGTTTACTGGATGCTCCCAGTCAATCCTTCCCACCGTTTCCCTGATCTTACAAATTGCTATTCTCCTTCAGTTGAATCAATTTTTCCTCCTGCTTTAAGGATAACCTCTGACCTAAGCCCCTGTCCACACAAACACCAAACACAGGAGTCCTGCAAACAACACTAGTCCAGCTACCTCCCATCTCTACGCATTTTTGGAAAGGAAAAACTCAGGAAAACAATAGGAGACGTCTGGGATTTCCTTCCGATTCGTTTCTTCAGAAACCAGATGTTACATTCATTTTAATCTATTGATGATGTCAGCTTAATTGCCACCTATTGCTTTTAACCGGCATACCAGCACTGCTGTTGTGACGTCTGCTTTTTTCTTCCGCATAGAGATACATATATTTTTAAGCATGGATAAGTGCATTTTGGGTGTGTGAAAAGTGTTGCTTTTACTCTCCAACGCTGCGCATTAGAGTCTCTGCCTTTCAGAAACGGCTACTGCAAAACCTTTCAGCCTCCTACAGGCTTTTTGGTCGATGGAACTTAAGAGGGCATGTATCGCGTTTGGTAAAACGAAAAAAAAAAAAAAAAAGATGGTGGCAGAGAAGCCTGGGAGTTGAGCCTGTGCGGATTCACTTTTAAAGAAGAACATCTGACACTATTTCTCCGAAGAAAATATTCACCTCCCTGCTGGGTTATATATTTCTTCATTAGGTGTGAAGATGGTAGCAGCAGGTGGCTAAAATAGCTTAGCAGCCCGAATGCTGGAGGGGCTACAATCTTTATGCTAATCTGAGCTCACCGCCTGCTGTTTCCAGCTTCATATTTAATGTGATGACTTGTTTTGATATTCTGTTGGAAGGGAGGTGAGTAGGAACATTTCTCTAAAAGCCTCAAACAGAGTTTAGGCTGGCGATCCACTCCGGAGTGAAGGTAAAGCGTTTTTTTTTTTTTCTTATGCAAAGTTGTAATTTTCAATTTAAATTCAGTAATATACTACAGGTCAGAGAGGATATATCCCGAGGACTTCCTGAAAGGATGTTCTCCGCCAAGAGACTAAAACCATCAACACTCTCCCTCATGTCTGAGCAGGACTTGCACTCGTTCTGACTGCTAAAAAGATAAAAGAATATATCCTCCTCATTCAGAAACGTGCGCGGAAGCTCTCGTGTTCATCGCTTCGGTCCCATAC